AAGTGGGGTTCAATTAAAGGACAACAATATCATGTGAAATGTGGGCAATGTATAATTCACATAAACGTTTAACACAACACTTATACAGGGACATGTTTGTCATATATGGTCAACATATGATCTTTCAAATGTGGATCATATGACTTGCTTTATATAAACATGGATATACATGTAAAATTCATATGACTCGCATATGATCCTCATAAACACTCAATTTATACATGTACACGTATAAGGAATATATGTATTATATGTGGTATTTTTCCTTATGTTTAAACTATATGTACAAACCCAAAAATAAACATTTCATTGCTGACATAGTGGAAATAAGGATTCACTTTTTTTATTTTCATTTTTTTTTTTAAAATACTGTATAATAACTTCAAAAAGAATTAAAAGAAATAAAACTCATGCTACTGCTACTTACTAAATATAAAAAAATTCTTTTGATTGTTAGTTCTTCACACATTTTGAACGTGGTAGGAGTTAATTGGATAAGGAGAAAGAAGATGGGCAAACAGGAAATGCAAGATGTTTATTTGAATGTATGAAAGTATATTCATTTTGTTTGTTTAGTATCAATAGTAAAGTTCTTATAATTGAAAGGTGTGAAATTACTAGTATGACAAATAGAACTTCTCTGCGCAAAAATTTTTCCGCAAAAATATTCTATGATTTAAAAAAAAGTGGTATTCTTGAGGTTTGATCCATATTAAACAATTTAAATTCTAAATATCAATTTTATCTAAGAGACTAACATGCTAACCACTATGCTAAGTAGCTCAAAATAAATTGCAGCATTTAAATCATGTTTTTTAAATGACCCTTGACTAAATGGATTAAATATTTCTTGGAAAGATACATATACGAATGTTGTCTCATAAAGGGACATTTTTTTTAGGAAAAGTGCCTCTTTGCTCCATGTTTTTGTTAACCAAAATATGAATAGTTTTATGCATACTTTGAGTGTAATCTTTAAAAAGAATAAATGGAATGAAGGCCATTTCATATGAAAATATTGTGATATAGTATTAAAAACAGTGATCGAACTCAAAAGTCCATTAAAACAATACAAATTTGGAGCAGAGCAAACACTGACCTCTAAAACATCAGAGGTGGGATCAGGTGCCATGTGGGCTGGTCAGACCCGTGTGTGCTCCTTGTCATGATAGGGTAAACGAAAAAATCCGTAGACAATTCAAATTTCAAAAATGTGAAAATAATAGTACGACAATTGTCATGAAAAACGTCAGTCAACATTGTATTTATTGACAAGGTCTTTGTATCGACAATGGAATTTGCGAAATGTTGACTTTAAATGCGACTGTTGATATCCTTATTTCATCAACTTATTTGTCAATAGTTTGCCTCATTCAGAAAATGTTCGAACGTAGAGCATGCTCTTGAGTATCGAATCAACTACAAGACATAAACTCCATATGCAGTTGATAATATAATATTGTGACATATACAAGGAAAGTTGACGATAGAAAAGTTGAAGTTATCACGTTTATCATATAGTTTTTTGTAACGTTACCATTACAATTTCATAAACAAATAATCTAATCTTGTGAGACTGCTGCAAATTGTTGAGATGTTGCATAAATAAACGTTAATGAAAAATGAAATTTAAAAGTTTTGTCATAATTAAGATTTCATTTTTCACTTTCTTGTTTGTCACACAATAGGCATGTAGGTATTGTTCGCCTTGATCGCCAATCTTTTTTTTTTTTTTTTTTTTTTTTTTTTTTTTTTTTTTTTTTGAATTATTTATTTATTTATTTATTTATTTTATAATTTTACAACTTTATTGTTTATAATCAGCTTTAATTTGGTATTTATTTTTTCACAATACTTTAACTTTCTATCTACATGCATTTTTTGTCAACACTTAGGAATTACATTACCCGCCGTCTGTCTGTTTGTCCTTCCGTCTGTCACACCTTATTCCTTGAGAAGTGAAAGGGGTGTGGGTTTAATATTTTGCACATAAATGTATATGGCTTTTGTAAAATACCGACCCACCATATGATCTTTCAACTTGACCTTTGACGAAATTTTCAAAATGGTTCACAGAGTCGATAGATATAGTTTATTATTATTATTATTATTATTATTATTTTACATTTAAGAGGCGAATCTGTGCTATGTAGCATGTGCAGTGTTTGTCATAAGATATAATTGAAATTATCCGGTGTGGCAGTCCACTTAAAATCACATTCTTCGTTAAAATACTTCGAACGAGTAATATAAATTTTGAAAGGCAGATTTTCGATATCTAGCATAATCATATAACATAATTTATGCTTATGAGCTTATGATACTGTACTTTAAAACTGTATAATATAAAGTTACCACACAATCTGAAGTTAAATACTATGAAAATACCTCGGGATCATTTTACCAACATGGGTCGCAATATAGTTGTAGAATGACAATTGACGTGAAGACAGACTGAATCTTTCTCTAGCTAGGCACGAATCTGGGAGATTACTAGAGATGTTTAGAGTAGATGAGTAAAGTAGATGTTTCTACATGTATGTAGAAAATGATACACAAAAATATATATTTAAAATAATTTCAGTTTGTTTTTTGTTATTTTAGCATTCGGGGTTGGAGAATCATATTTTTATTTGAATGTCGCATTTCAAATTTTAATAGTATCCGTGGATTTTTTTTAGCATGAACTATAGCACTAGTATCACACAAATATCTGACAACTCTTAGATTTATTTACATCTTTACTGATGCGTTACTTGGAACGCTTTAATTAAGATTTGGTTAATCAGTAATGTTGAAGGTTTTTCGAGATCACTGCCAATTGTATAGAGATACGAGGGTTTTCCCAAAAAGTCGTAAACAGGGAAAATGAATTTCAAGTACAATATCCAGTGTGTTTAAAATGTGTCTCTTAAGCTTCTCGTTAAAAACCACTGTTGACTGAAAGAAAATTCATATTTCGAGATCGTTATTTCTAAAAGGGGGATGGGTGTCAATGGAAAACATCGCCGTTGAAATTTTTATACAATTCATGTATATGGCGATCGACGTATAGAAACAGGGACTTGTACCATAGGACTGGCAGTAAATTTAGATTTTGATGTTGCTGTGGTGTATTTGCCAGAAGAATCACAGTATTTTTTTAAGTCATGCCCACCTTTTGGCATCAAGCCATACTTTGACAAGACCTTGACTGATGAATGAATGATGTCAATTTCTAGACCTAGCTGATGAATGAATTAAGTCAACATTTTTAATTTTAAAAAATACTAACATTAGCTTGTCGATGTTCGCTTCTTAAATGTTTCTGTATGTTTTCTCCGCGTATCCTTAATCAGTAAATGATACGTCCTACCTCGAGTTCTCGTCATTCTCTTTCCCGTCTCCAAATACAAATAGAAATATCACATCAGAAGTCCCCGCGTTTTTTTTTACTTCCAATACCATTTCAAACTTTCATTAAAATGTCACAAATCATTTCATTTTTTTCTGTACGCCGATTGCCATATAGAGAAAGTTCAATGGCGATGTTTCCTATACCCATCCCCCCTTTTTCAAAAAAAAAAAAAAAAAAAAAAAAAAAAAAAAAAAACAATGATCTAGAAAGATAAATTTTCTTTCAGAGTTCACGGCTTGAATATAAAAGCCTACAATCGCTACCCCTGTACCTGTACCTGACAAAAATCATGTTTTCTGCGTCTTCAATATTCCAAAGGTACAATATCTTCATACGTACCAATTCCGAATTTTTTGTCAACAATTTGCAGTAGCAGTGACGCAGCTAAGTATGATCCTTGCAGATGGAGACAGCTATTTATACAGACTCCGGACCGTGGCTTGACACCTCGTAGTAGGCGGTGCTAATTATCAACATGCTTTTCTCTGATTGGTCCTCTGATACAAGTTACTTACACATTAAATATTAATTGGTTAGCGGTAAATAAACTCACACTCCACCCCTCGTGAATGAAAAACTGTGAGTGTATTTACCGCTAACCAATTAATATCTAGAGTGTAACTATAACAAATATACTGTCTAGTATATAAGTCCCTGATAGACAGTATGAAATGATTTCTGACATTTTAATGAAAGTATGAAATGCTATATGAAGTAAGAAAAATGCAGGGACTTCTGATGTTAAATCGCTACATGTACTTGGAGAAAGAAAAGAGAATGACGAGAATTCGAGATAGAACGTATCATTTACTAAATATGGAAACGCTTAGAAAAATTACGGAAAAAATTACAAGGCGAATTTTGGCAAGTTAATGTTAGTTTTTTTTAAATTAAAAATGTTGACTTCATTCATTCATCAGCTACATGTATTGCCAAGGTCTGGAAATTAACATCGTTCATTCATCAGTCAAAGTCTTGTCACAGTATGGCTTGATGCCAAAAAGTGGGCGTGACTTCAAAACCTGTGATTCTTCTGGCAAATACACCACAGCAACATCAAAGCAAAATCTATGTTACCGCCAGTCCTATGGTACAATTTAAAATGTGATATCTTTCTGTGTCGCCTGGAGCAAAGCGACAGTTAGGGATCACTTTACCCGGCATCTGCCTATCTGTCCGTCTCTCTGTCACACCTTTTCTCTTGAAAACTGTAACAGTGTCGATTTAATATTTTGCACATATATAGCTTGGCACTATGTCTTTTGTAAAATGCCAAGGTTGCCCACTTTCGACCTATGAACTCGATCTTTAAATTTCTTTTCAAAATGGTTCAAAAAGCCGATATGCAGTTTAATATTATAATTATTTTTTACATTTTAGAGGTAAGTAACTATGTGCTAATTAAATTGTACACAGTTTGTCATAAGATATTATAAAAAAAATGTGTAACAGTCCATTTGACATCTGACCTCCTTTTCAATAATCCTTCGAACGGTAATTCAAAACTTATCTTTTGAATTTTGAGAGACAGATTTTCGATACATGTATATAACACATTTTTGTGAGCTCACGATGCTGTCCTAGAAAATTGTATAACAAACAGTTACTACACAAACTGAATATTTATTACAACTTCATTAAATCGGGATCGGTAAAGCAAAATAATCGCACTTCAGTTAAAGCTGTAGACTGACAATTGCAGTACTTTCTTTAATCATGAATGAAATATGGGGATAACAAACAGCAATCAAGCTCAAAAGTCCATAAAAACAATACAAATCTACAAATGCGGTGGGATCAGGTGCCATGGAGGAGTAAGCATCCCCTGTTAAAGCTGTAGACTGACAATTGCAGTACTTTCTTTAATCATGAATGAAATATGGGGATAACAAACAGCAATCAAGCTCAAAAGTCCATAAAAACAATACAAATCTTGAGCTGAGCAAAGGCGTATCTCTAAAAAAACATATGCGGTGGGATCAGGTGCCATGGAGGAGTAAGCATCCCCTGTTAACCTGGGTGACTGTTGGTAATTACTTCGAAAAAAATTCAATTTCATTATCCCTTTAATTATATAAGCTTTGAGGGTTGGGGAACAATTTTTATTCAATTGCCACACTTTATGAAAATTGCAATTGTATCAAAGTTTTTCTTAGCAGGCAAATGCATGAATTATATTTCTTTAATTTATTTCCATCTTTAAGATAGTCCGAAATATCTGACGTTTTCCAGACTTTTTTTTCAAGATTTTGATATTTTACATGCCAAGAAAACGTCGGAACCGGCGCCATTATGAAAACTGGAAATTGGAGGCGGCATTCTCAGGTTGATTTTCGATACTTGCGAACCGAATTAAATCTCAAACGCAAAACTTATCAACAGTACAATACTTTTAGTACTCACAAACATCGTTTTTATGGAATGTTTATAAAATATACAGTCTGGTGTATCATTTTATCAGACTGTCGAGGTCTGTTTTCATTTCGTTCATTTTAAAATCTTGCAAGACCTGTATCGAAATGTGGAGTGATATTTTCTTTCCATCGATATTGGTGAGTACTAGAAGCATTTTGCTATTGATAAGATGTGAGTTCGGCAATTAATTTGGTTCGCAAGTATCGAAATCAGCTCCGGTTGGAGACGGCAAAATTTCCAGTTTTCATAACGGCGCCCGGGTTCTGACGTTTTCCTGGCAAGTATAAATACAAAAATCGTAAAAAGGCCTGGAAAACGTCAGATATTTCGGACTACTTTAATGATGCCATAAAGCAGGCGACACATGCTGCGTTCCTTGGAACACTCTAGTTTATATCTAAGCTTTATACTATCTAGAGTAAGCAATCGAAAATCTCATTGAAATACCGGGTAATATGAGGAACGTATATGAAAAGAACCTTCACATAATACAAATCACTTCATGAAATATATTTCACAAAAAAAGTTTGGGAGTAATAAAGCAGTCAATTACGGCATCACAAATCATGGTGTTTCTTTACAAACTCCTTCGCTCCAAACTTGTAATGCTTTGACATATCTGGTGCATATTTACTGGCAGGCGGCCGTCTGTTGTATTCCTCCGCCACTACTCGAGTGTAATGTGAAGCGTTTCCGCAACACAGACCCACGTACTGCACACCAATTTCTCTAGCCTGCTTTGCAAACTCTGCAATCTGTGTTATGCTGCAGAAAAATCGCGGGAGGTCAACGGGAAATGCAGACTTGCCTGAAATATACCATGAAAATATAATTGTGAGTTTTGTCACATTATATAGTTATATTACGATGAAGCATTCCACAATGGTAGTTTTGCATTTGCTTTCAAATACACCATGTATTTGTTATTTGTCCAAACATTTCAATTTAAATGCATCTATTGATTAGACGTGCTTAATACCATTTCTATACTTTACACCCAAACAATATAATTTGCTTTTACAAAAGGCAATGTAATAGAATTACCTGTATCAGGATCAACCAAAGTCTCGTAGGTGGGTTCTTCAGGGGTCGTTCGATACGGAACTGGGAGTGCGGCAATAGGTCCCTGAAAATAAGGGTGGCGTAAAAAAGTCAAATCCTATAGATATACATATGTATATGTTACATGTAGTTAAGTCTCAAATGTGGGATCATATCACAATTTTCAAGATAATCCATTTTCTCCATTTTTTTAACACAGCATGCTATAACAATTTGTAAAGTATATCTACCATGACACCTGATTGAAAATTGAAATACACTCTACAATTACTTAAACATTGAAATAAATTTGAACTAGGAGATATTGTGAGCAAGCTCACGAAATTATAACCCCCGTGCAATTTTTAAAGGTTATGACATACACTTAGCTCACAAGTAATCTTTGTTTGAAATTTTGATTTCCAATACTTATTTATCACAGAGTTATGAACTAGGCACAAATTGTATACTTTTTTCTGCTATTGACCTTGAACTTGCGTGAATGATCTTTGGCTACGGTCATGTTTCTGAAAGTGTCATGACCTTAGGTCAAGGTCATGACACACTCTTGGGACATGGGTAATTTTTTTAACCAAAAAAGCTTCCAATGTTTCTTCATTACAAAGTTATTATGACCTGGAAACAATTGAACGGACATGACGGACAGCTAGACAGAAGACGGACAGCTAGACAAACGGACAGACAGCTAGACAGACAAGGTGAATTCTATTTAAGCCTCAAACTTCCTTTGCGGGGGTTATAAAAAGATAATGATTTTTCCAAATACCATTGTTTTTAACATATCAAAATGCTACTTTGGAAATATTTAAATCAAAATACTAAAAAGTGTAAATAATTATTTTGATGAAAATAATCATTGTGCACTAAATGCTTATTAATGACAGTTACAAAAAAATTTTCTCCAATGTCTTTGTCAAACTTAAAGTCCCAAATGGAACGGATCTAAATCCATGGATTTTTAAGGACTGTGCAAACATATCATTTCAACTATATGAAAATATCTTTATCTCAATCATCCAAACAAAATCCTGGTAATGTATTGATAATTCAGTGATAAGTACTCTCTGTATACCTGGCATCTGATCGTCAAGAAACAAAGGTACTTGAAATGTTTATAATGAGAAACGTAGTAATGTAATCTTATCATGTCCTATTGTCGGATAAAGGGCAGTAAGTTTGTTAATCAACCCAACTGTTGCAATTTTTCCCCATTAAATGTCATTAATAATGACCTGTTTTGTCGTCGTAATATCTTCAGAAAATTATACTATTATTCTTCAATACTAGTATGTGAATGATTTGAGCTGAACCAAATTGATTTACATAATGTGAAGAAACTGTATCTGTAACTGCAGACGTATTCCTGAAGTCACCACATGCATCTACGTGTATGAATCTTATTTGAATGTCATGCAGCATCCTTATGCGATATTCTCTAGAACAAAACCCATCTTTCTTACATTCAAGATTTTTATGCTACAGTACTCAGCTACAAAATGTTGGCTCAGAAAGAAAAATACATTCACAAATTCCAGTCACGATAACCTTTTAAAATTCCTCCTGAATTAGATATAGTATATTATAGCCAAAGCATTGTTGTCAAGAATAAGTATCATTTTTTCTTTTGAATGAGGCTACATTTCTGATAATACTGTTCACATCCCAATTACTTTTATCTTAGATTTGACTTTTCCTATTGTATAGACAGGTTTCTTCAAGTATTGGACTTGTTGGAGGATATTTTCTTTAAATTTGAAGATATTAATAATTCAATGCATAAATATGAGCAAGAGACAAAAATATGATTCAGATACAGACACAATTTTTACGCACTCCCCTGGAAAAAATAGGTCAGATCCAGCACCTGGTGCAAGTCAGGTAGTATACGGATGCATCGGCCATGCATGTTTGTTAGGCATCATCTTAACATGTTTGTTCAACACATAAGGCTTATCGTTACTTGGGAATAGACTTGGTTTTAAAACTTAAAACTGGTCATTTTACTGGAAAATGTAGGTCAGAACCAGCATCTGAAGCAAGTCTGGTAGTGTTCATCACTAGAAGCATCATCAATGCAAGTTTGGTCAACTTGTAAATGGACTTGCACAAAAAACCTAAGCCTGGTCACTCATCTGGAAAATATCTGTCAGATCCACCATCCAAAGCAAGTCCGGTAGTAATTACGCCCAAAGATGTATATTCCATGCAAGTTTGTTTAAGAAGTACTACATGTAACAGTTACTTGGGAATTCGGGCATGCTCCTAAAACTTTGACTAAGATGCCAATGCTAGCCCCGAAACCGACGCCGGGGTATAGCATAAACTCAGAAATCTGGACAACATATCTGTGCCTATATTTTAACGTTGATATTCCTCATTACCTTGCATACTTTCCGAATTTCTCTTAGCAGAGGAAGCATTGTGGTTGGACCTCTACAACAATTAAGGCCCACCACTACTGCACCTGCCTCCTCTAAAAGTTTACAGGCCTCCGGAAAAGAAAGACCATCTTTTGTTTCGTCTTTTTCATGCGGTGCCAATGTCACCACTGCTGGCACTATAAATGATAAATATATAATGATAATATATTAAAAAATGAACTTGGATATAACTGTCAGTCAGTGACTTTCAACATAATGAACATGTATGATAAATTATATTAAAATATAAATATTTTAAACTTCAAAGTGAAATTACTGCAATATACATTTATTGAATGATAGAGATGGAAATGTGAAGATTAATTCAAGCAAGCAAAACCATATTCCCCGAGGGTTTCCCCCTCGGGGAATATGATTTTTGGCTGAATAAATCTTCATACTTCCTCGGCATTCATCCAATATACCAAAACAAGCCAAATCTTTAAAAAAATAAACAAAAAATTTCAAATTCGGCACCGCTCTTAAATTCGCTTTCAGTTCTAAAACGTCACTGACACACTTTACTGAAGACCCTTGAACACTTCAAAGACAATTGTCTTCGATTTCTTTGTTTTCCTTTCAGCATCCCAGTTGGAAAGTTTCCTCATCGCTTGTTAGATGAAACCTTTTCTACTATAATAATTGTATATTTTGCAGTTAGAAGTTTTCGTTCAAAGAACGATAATTATTGCAGGAAAATGCATGATCGAGGTCTCCCAAGAGGTTGAACATGATGTAAAGCATGACGGTGGCAGGGAAATATGAAAATTTATAGCTATGTCACATGACTTTCTAGAACTAATCAGATCATCTGTTGTATAGAATAATAAGATTATTAGAAAGAGGTATGATATTTGACAATATGATCTATCCCTATCGGCTCTCATATTTTCTTACAGCCATTTCCATATTCTTTGATACAGTCAAGTGCCAACCTGGCCTCGGCAAACTCATGGAACCGCTCTGCAATCATGTAATCTGCCCCACATTGTACAGCCCATTGTATTTGTTCCTAGAAAATTAAATAAAAAAAGAGAGTAACAAATTACTCATACTAATTATATAACTTTGTGATATAATTTCTTTATTTCAACTTACCCGAAATATCTCCCTAACCTCCTCTACGGAATTTGGATCGTCCCTGTGAAACACAGTGGTGTTACAGATATCCCCTGCCATCAAGGTGCCCGTTTTGACTGCCACTTCTTTGGCCATCCTCAGGGCACGTAAGTTAAGTTCCATCAGGTCATCCTCACGACCGATGACTTTGAGCTTCGCACGATGACCATAATACTGTTAATCGTACAACAATAGATCTGACAGATGAATTTAATGATAAACATTAACTATGTAATACGCCGCTTACATGTATCAATACTAATAAGTATGATTACTAAAGTTTGAAAACAAATGACACAATGCATACAAAATCATTTGGTAAATTATATTTAATTACACATTGATTTAACTGTATTTAAGAAATGTAAATGCTCACTCCAATATTAATATAAAAATTGGCAAAGTTTGTACCACTGTAGTGCAGATAATTGTAATTTTGATGAAGGCTATACTTTTCATAGTATACAAATATTTATATGATATCGAAGTTAATCAGAAAGAGTCAGGGATATGAGGGGGCGTTTTGGTATCACATATTCAAAAGGGTGATATCACACATTCGGATTGGTGGCATCACCTCTTTGAATTGGTGTTATCACTATCTGATTTGAAATGGCCATTTCACCTATTCGGATAGGTGATATTACCTATTCAAGTCAAAAAGTGATATCACATATTCAAAAAGATGATATTACACATTTAAATTGGTGACATCAGTCACATCACTCATTTGAATAGGGGATATCACTATTTGATTTGAAATGATGATTTCACCTATATCACCTAGGTGATATAACCTATTCAAATCATATAGGTGATATCACATATTCGAATAGATGACATCACCTATTTGAAAAGGTGATATCACTTAGTCATTTTGAATAGGTGATATAACATTTTCAAACTTTGTATGAAATAACAAGTGCTCCCAAGACTTTATTTGTACTGCATACATTTCCTCTATACACACGATGCGGGAAAAACATTTCACTCTCTTTGTACATAAATAATAATAATAAAGAGAAGGAATCGATACATATAGCAAAACTGAATGCAATTAAAATATGCATAACTTCACATGTCTCGCACTATAACAAGGGGAAGAGGGCAGCCCAAATTTGCTTAGGCTCAATATAACTCTAGTTTTTCGTATGTAAAATCGAGCTGTTTTATGAACCATTTAAGTTTTGTGTACATATAACACAAGAAAAGCCCCCCCCCCCCATCCCCCGCCTCTAGCCAAAAAGGAGATCTTAGCAAATCTTCAGTTTATTTGATCAATAAATGCTGAAATGGTAGAATGTGCTCAAATTAAGTTTAACAAGTTCAGAAATGTTTCATTTTTTTTTTATTGTAAGAGTAATTATATATGAAATCAATATCATTATTTTTTAACCAATGTAAAGAAAATAAAATTGTTCTAGCCTATTAAAAGTTCTTTCTTTATTTTGCATTGCATTGAAACTTTCCATGAAAAAGGAACTATTCATTACTTAATAACCTAGTAAGGAATACAAATAGGTGATATTACTCATTTGAACGATATCACAAATTCAAAATAAATTGATGATATCAACCATTCAAATGGTTGATACACTGTATTACCTATTCAATTCGCATAGGTAATATCACCTATTTAAAGGTGATATCACCTATTCAAAAGGGTGATACCTCTTATTAAAATTCAATGCTGAAATATGAAGATAACGAACAGTAATCAAGCTCAAAAGTCCATTAAAACAATACAAATTTGGAGCAGAGCAAAGACGTCGACGGACCTTTAAAAACATCCGAGGTGGGATCAGATGCCATAGAGGAGTAAGCATCTCCTGTCGACAGGTCACACCCGCCGTATGCTCCTTGTCATGATCGGGCGAACGGAAAAATCTCCATATGCACGAAACAATGCTATATTGCTACATAAATAAATAAGGGAAGTTGACGACAGAAAAGTTGAAGTCATCCCGTTTATCATAAAGTTTTGTTGTAAGGTAACCATTAACGTCTTTTTCTAGTAAATATTCAAGTATGAAACAGATGTGTCAGATTCTGTGGTATCTTTTATTTCGAGTCAAAAGGGATATAATATCGAATCAATGTAGTAATGAAAATGAACATTGTTAATTGATAAAACGTCGTTGATATATATCTAAATGTTGAATTTAAGGCAACGACAAGAGACTTCTATTGAGCGATATCACCTCTTTAAATGGGTTCACTGATATTATCTATTCAAATAGGTGATATCACTTAATTGCAATAAATACCAGGAAACTTACGGTAAATGCCACAACTACGTCGCTTCCTGCGTGCACAAATTCTTCGTGAAGAGCTTTGACGACCTCTGGATGTTCTAAAACTACTTCCGGAATAAATGCTCCGGCTTGTAAATAGCCTCGCCTCTCTAGCTCTAACAAATAGCCCTCGGCTACTATGATGTCTTGGCCACTCTTCAAACGTGCTCTTAACCCTACTCGGAGGCAAATGGAAAACATACAAGTCACAAAATAAACCGGCATTTAAGGTATTTATAATATATAGAAATGAAGAGCAGCAGCATAGCAACTCAATAACTATGAATAAAACTTGTTGAATTCTTGTGAAAAACATCCTATCTTCTTGCTTTGTTATCTTAATTTTAATCTTTAAATTATGTGCTGTATATGATCTATTCAAATATTTAAAAATGTCAATATTTACAAAAGAAGGGAAAGAACGAGGTACATTTATTTAAAAAAGCAACACAATAAAGGCAGCGAACAATTGAAAAATCTTTTGAAACAGAGATTATTTTAAAGGATCAGAATGCAATTTTAAATATCAATGATTATCAGCACAAACTTTATTCCATACCATACTTATCACATGGTTAGAACTTTGTACTGCACAGTGAAATATCAGAGAATGTTATTTACTTAATCAACTGAATTTTACATGAATGCACTCCTTTCCGAACGTACTGACTATGAAATGATATTATATGGAATAAGGATTTATTTGCATTTAAGCATCAAATAAAAGTGGCCAAAATTAAAATATTTTTCCCAGTAGAATTTTTACCTTCCACAGCCATTTTAAACCTGATCCGTCGCACTCAGTATATCCCAGTACGGGTTCCCGTGAATGTCAAGATTTATGTAATACTTATCAATGCACGTATAATCAGGTGATGTCTAGAAATTTTAAATTATGTATGATTTATGAGTATACAAAATGATAAGTTTTATTAGGCCAAGAATAAAAAATGATTTGTTTTATGTACCCGACTGACCCATCAAATTTGCCCCTACTGGGTCAATTTATTTCAGTACTTTAATTTTTTTTTAATTTTTTATATTTTTTTTTTTTTTTTTTTTTGTTTCTGGGAAAATACATATATTGTCCGACTTGCTTTTAGACATTAGGTTCTGTGATTTTCATAACATTTATGATTGTGTTAGAAAATTAAAAAAAAAAAATAAAAAACTACCTTACTATCCACCTTGAAAAATATGAGTGGGAGTACATAAAAAAAATAATAATAATAATAGCCTTAATATTTATCAACTTACAGAATTGTTTTTTTTAAAAGAAGCATAGACTATGTATAGTAATTATGCTTAAAAACTAATTCTTTTTAAAGAAGAAGTTTTCTTTTTTTATAACATTGGATATAATGTATCGTACATTGCACAGTATAATTTTGGTTAACAAAGATCTCATAAATACATCTTTTTATTGGAAGACCTTGAATGAATATACATGATACCGACGAAGAATACTCAGGCCATCTTTAAAAAATTGTTTGGTTGCCCTCTCCCTACCGCCTGGCTAAAAAGGGCCAGACTAAAAACCTGTTAAAAATCGGTTTCTTACAATTTAGCCTTAACTGAAAAATTTGCTAAAATTTAGAATTATCAAATTCCCATTTCGCCTTAGAACTTTTCAAAAACAGTCTGATTCACTGCATATTTACAGTTAGTGTATATTGAACTGTATATTTGCATACATTTTCGTATCTGCAGAACTGTAGCGATATGGTTTTATATTTAAGTGTTTGACCATAATGCTACAGATCCCGTAATGCAAATAAGGTGCAATTTACTGCGCAAGATTTTCTGCGCACTGTTGGGGAGAATTTCTTCACTTTCCAGCATTGGTCAATCAACTACATTTCACTCCCTAATTCTAGATACATTTTTTATCAACCTGTATATTTAATCCACCACCCAACCCTTTATAGTCGTCTTTACAGACCAATAAACTTGCTTGTTTTGATTTTTTTGTTGGATGGCAGAAAAAGTTTTGGAACATATCACTAAGGAAATTAGTGCACTGTTCATCCACATGTGTAACAAAATAAACTAAAAAGCAGTTATTACCGATTATCTTTGAGGCTAGAATCAGAGAGGAGGAAGTATCCTCTGTCGATCGGTCACATCCGCCGTGGGCTCTTTGTCTTGATCGGGTAAAGGAAGTAATCCATAGACAATCAGTTTGAAAATAATAGTTTGATTATTTCAAAATATCAGTCAACATTCGGCATAACGAAAGGTTGTATTTATAATCAAGGTCATTGTTACGACCATAGAATTTGCAAAATGTTGATTGTAAACGATATCGCTGATATCCTTGTAACATCAATATTTGTCAGTAGCTTGCCTTGTTTGTGTGTGTGTGTGTGTGAGGGTGTGTGTGTGTGTGTGTGTGAGGGAGGGTGTGTGTGTGTGTGTGTGTGTGTGAGGGTGTGTTTGTGTGTGTTTCGAATCAACTTGAAAAGAAAAACACCATCTTCTGGTGAAAATAGTATATTACAACATAAATAATGGTAGTTGAAGATAGAAAAGTTAAAGTCATCACGCTCATCTTAAAGTTTAGTTGTTAGATTTCCATCAATGTCTCCAGCTCTCTCTATTAAAAAATCCAAATAAGAAAATTTGTGTCAGACTCTGTGGTGTCCTTTTTGAATACAATGGGATATATTGAATCACTGTATGAATGAAAATAAATATTATTATATTGATAGAAAGCCGTTGAAATGTCTTCATTGTAAATGTCGAATTGCAGGCCACAGCCAAAAAAAAAAAATATTCTTTTCATTTGGAATTTTTTTGAATAAATTCTTCATCAGAATACACAAACAGGTCGACCAAATATTTATCTTTTCTGCATCAAGATTTATAGCAATAGCAATAGTTAACTTTTCAAGACTATCCTGCAGAAGTAAACATAAAAAGGACATCTTCAAATCTCTTCTACTATCTCTTCCTCAGCAGGGATGAGACAAGGGTCTTGTTTTTTCACATTGCTATCCTTCTTAATATCTGTCCTCTTTTCACAAAGCGAGTCTGTTAGATTACTCTGAAACGTTTATGTTTTTTTACCCATCAGGTATTGAAATGGTTAGTACTTTAATTTTGATAATGAGATGTTTAAATCATGTCACAAAAGGTATAACGGGAGCTTTTGATGAAGTGAATCCTCACACATAAAATCGATCAATTGAAAGATGATTAGCTAATTGAAATTGTTACGTATTTTATTGTTTTAATCACTCTGGCAATATTGTTCCCAAATGTGAAAAATTATTGCAAAAGATTATGTTCTTTGTAGTCTACAAAATCATTGGAATTAGTAAGAATTATAGGAGAGAAGCAGCATGAAATAGTTTATTGCAAGTAATCACACTACATGTATGTGGAAAGGAAAAAAGAATTGATAAATAAATAGGATTACAAATCTCTGCAAAATTAAATTTTGGCAAAAAACTGACAAAATAGTCCAATGTCCCCAATATGTTTATATTTTGCAGGCTTTGTCGATAAAAAAAGTACATATATCACCTCTTCATGAAAAAAGGATCTATCAATTAAACTTTCATATAACTTACCTTTATTCTTTATTATCGTTATCACGGTATAAAGCATCCCTAAAAATAAAATACGCTTTAAATGTACAGTATATGTCAAAGGGTTGATGTGGCACAAGTTTAAGTACGTACATGTGTAACTGCTCTATCAAAGTCCAAACTTTTCTATGTTCTAATACTTATTGTAACTAATTATGGCAACAGCAAGTTGATTATTCCAAATAAAAAATTATTGAAAATTAAGGATTTTTTATATCAATATACCATACATTTTAATTAAGAATGTCAACGAATATTCGAACGTTCGAATATTCATTCGATGAGTTGATATTCGAATATGAATTTAAGATTCGAATATTCGGTGTTTTTCAGATTTCATAAAAGAAGTACTGTGATTTATAAATTTTGATTAGAACATTGCTGGAATCATTCACGTTTAATTTACTAGCGATCAATTTCGATCGCCTGATTTCCTTCACTACTTTTCTTATCTTATAGATCGACTAAATTATTTTGTTTTGAGTAGGGTGTTAAAGAATTATAAATTAATGCTTTACATATTATAATACAAAACCTACTTTCATATTTTTTATTAGTTAAATACCATCGGATCTAAAATCGAGGACAACAAAATGAAAACCTTCTAAACCTTCTTCACGTCTAAAAGAGGTGAAGAGTAACTATACTTATCAAAATAAATTTAATTGATCATTGAATAAATGACCAATAGAATTAGTCTGTAATTACATGTAATAATGTAAAGGGCTCAATTTCAGAATAAATGTGTAAATTACTTGATTATCTTGGGTTGTACATAATCCTTAATTTTATATTCATTATCGGGAATTTAGTTTACCTGTTAATTACCTAGGAATATTGTCTATGGAAATGTTTGTTTATACTTTAAAAACATTTTATCACAAATTATAAACATATCTCTTATTAGGCTGATAATTGTAATTAATTACACGTATTGAAATCTGAACAGTATACGACCATCCTGTTTTGGTAAGACGACTGGTTCCTACATGTAAAAACACGTGTACATTTGGTTAAAATTATACTTTTCTACATTTAAATCAAATATTAATTTCAAACCATGACAAATATCAAATGGAATTCCTCATTGTACATCCACAAAAGTCTTCATACAATTTTACTTCCAATATAAGAATACCTACGCTAAATCTTTCAGGAAAGTAGGATGATGCATATTTAAAATAAACCAGATTTTATTTATTTTATCGAATATTCGAATATATTCGAATACTTAAATTGAATATTCGAATATCAATTATGGACAAAATTGACATCCCTAATTTTAATCATTAAACACGAAGCTAAAGGATATTTTGTATTTTAAAAATTATTTACAGTCAAATAAGGAGACGGACATTGAATACTTTTATTACTAATGTATATTTTAGTATAATCTGGACTAGCTCCTAGACTGGTAGATGTAAAACAACACAACATTAATTTTATATCAGATGACAAAAGAATTTTTATTTTTTTTTATTTGTGTAAATTATAAATTTTGTTTTCAGTACGACTTTGCCATTTGATTCCTTAGAGACTGGATCAAGGACACTTTAAATCAACAAGAAATATATGGAAATAACGAACAGTATTCAAGCTCAAAAGTCCATTAAACAATATAAATCAGGAGCAGAGCAAAAACGGACCTCTAAAACACCAGAGGTTGAATCTGGTGTCATGGAGGAGTGAGCATTTCCTGCTCTGTGCTCCTTGTCATGATCGGGAAATAAAGGAAAAATCCATCGACAACTCAGTGTGTAAATAATAGCCTAACAATTAGTATGAAGAATGTCGGTCAGCATTTGACTTAATGATAGATTGTTTTTGCTGACAAGGTCATTGTATCGACCATAGAACTTATATACGAAATGATGATTTAAACGAGACTGCTGATATTCTTGTTTCATCAGCTTGTTTGTCAATAACTTACCTCGTTTTAGAAATTGGTCATACTTAGAGCACGCTCTTGTATATCGAATCAACTGAGAGATATAAACCCCGTATGTGGGTGATAAAGGTATATTGCTGCATGAGTAAGGGAAGTTGACGATTGAAAAGTTGAAGTCATCACGTTTATCATAAAGCTTTGTTGTTAGATTACCATTAATGTCTATTTCTAGTAAAATATTCAAATATGAAACAGATGTGTCAGACCATGTGGTATCTTTTATTTCAAGCTCACCGGGATATATCGTATCGACATAA